CAAAAGCGTAGTTGGTGGAGGGGGAGCTGTGAAATGGGAATGTTGTTAAATTTGAAGGAAGGTCGGCTGCCGTTGGTCGTTGGCTTCATTGATAAGGAGTGGGCGAATGTGGCTGGGTGAGGGTATATGCTGGGATAGCCGGCTGGGTAAATAATCCTTAGCTACCGGCGGTTTGGAATAGAATATACTATGAGCTCACATTGGATTCTCTCCAACAGGCAAACCGATGTAAGCACGGTCAATTGTAGGGACTTGACGAATCAAACATATTGGCACTCGAACCAACCCGCTAAGCCATCGCGCAGCAACTCCGAATTTGCAGCTATCAAGATGGATGTTCTGAGAGGGGCGAACTCGACGATGATTCGCCCACTCACTTTGAGAGATTGTGTTGTTAAGACGAAAAAAGAGACGCGTAGATTGCGTGCTGTTTTCTGGTTTCAGGTCCTGAGGCCTGAGGCTTGACACCGCGCAACCAAATCTGCCATGACTACTACGAGAAAGAAGGTCAGCCAGGCCCACGTTCGTAGAGTCCACTTGTAAGCACGGTTGAAGCACGGCCTATACATCAGCGTTGTGCCGGTTGCGCAACTGTTCTGAAAGTCGCCGACTGTCACTGACGGTGACATTTCGCAACCAAACACGACCGCGACTTTGCGGGGTGCCAGGGGTGTCCTCATATATTATGTAATGTAATTTTAGGTGTAGACACTTCAGGTGGACAAGCTTTAGACCCGCACCTACGGCGCGGCACTCGCTAACGCTCGGCCATGCCTTTGGTGCTTGGTCACAGCTTGCTGGGGGCAAGCCCCCTAGACCCCCCGGTACGCATGTTTAATCCCAGTTCTGGTACGCATGCTTTATTCCAGTTCTGTTGTGCATGTTTCATCCCAGTTCTTATACTTCAGGTAGGGGTGCACATTCCGTCTTTGACAGATCAATAGGGCCATTAGATAGGTTCTACAGTGGCCTCTTGAGTCTTGACTATTTATGTACTTACAGCAAAATGGCTGAGCAAATTCAGGTGTTAACCGATAAACATTTGAGGGGACGGACAAAGGCTACAGGAGTCTGGCATTGTCAAAGTGCCTATAACCTAAGCTGCAGAACTTTCACAAACACAATTTACCTAAGTATCCCATGCTGCTAAGTTCATCCTCAGAATCCCTTATGACATTCAACTTTAAACAGGTAAAATTGAAGTGTATTTGATAATTACATAGGAAGTATTCTACTACATTAAATGTTTAAGGAAAGGGGGATGTTAAAAAGAAGGGGGATGGACAGGCAGTGGTGAGCCTTATCATCATTCGTGGTCGTGGTGCCGGGCACTCATCGCCCATCCAGGGTAGTGGTGCTGGTCCCTCGTCCGTTGTCGTACCACATTGGCATCGCGTTGTCGTCGTTGCTGTTGTTGTCACGTCGTCAGCCCCTCTGCGTCATGTTGTGCCCTGGTCCCTCGTTGGCCCTTGTCCTGGTCATGTTGTTATTGTCTTCATCGTCCCGTGTCCTCGTCGCGTCATTGGGTCGTGTTCTCGTCGCGTCATTGTCCTGTGTCCTCCTCGTTACGTCGTCGTCGTCCCACGTGGCCGGTCCGTCGTCGTCCTGTGTCTCAGCGAGGTGGGTAGGGATGAACGTGGGACGGGGGGTATTCACTGTGTTTTCGTAGCGTCGTTGTCCCGTGTCCTTGTCTTCTGTCGTTCTCATCGCGACATTGGGTTCCTTCATTGTCCTGTGTCTCAGTGAGGTGGGTTCGGATGAACATGGGACGGGGGTTACTCACCGTGGTGTCCTAGAGTAAACAACGACGAACGACGTTCGTCATTTGGTTGCCACGTCGCTGTCGGCGACGTGGCACCTGGATTGCGTATTAGTAAAATGAGGGGTGGCAGGGAGCTTGCTCACCTGGGCTCCTTGTCGCCTTTGTCCGTTCGTGGGTGGTTGACCGTCGCTCATAAGCCATGGTGGATGATGGTGGTCGGGATTGGCTGGTGCTCGTTCATCTTCGTTTGTAGGTGGTCGTTTTTGTTTTTTGAGCGCGACATGGCCCTTGCTTCTCATGTGAAAAAGGGAGAGGGAGA